CAATTTTGTAAGAAATTCTGTGATAAATGAAAATCACAAGTTTTTTTACAAAATCTCGTTTACTTCTTTTACATACTTAGTCTTAACAGAATAGACATGTCACTCCTCACTTCGTTGTTGATGGCCACAATAATGACCTCTAACACTTAATTCAAATCTGACTACTACATCCCAGCAGATTTTAAAGCTTGTCATACAAATGATTGTCCATTGCCAGAGCGGATACGTTCACGGGAACAAGTCTGTAAACCAGAATGTTCATCAATAAACCCAACAAACAAATTGCTAGTCATGTTAAAAATGATCTTTTTGGAGCGGGCGTATCAAAGAAGACTCGTACGTAAACTGAACTGGTTATTCAAAACCCAACAAATGGAGCGTTGGTCTTGTTAAAACTGTTCTTTTTGGAGCGAGCATGTCAATGAAAATTCGCCCGTAAACCAAACAGATCATTTAAAACCCAACCAGTAGACCATTGGTCTTACCAGAACTGTACGTCAAACAAGTCTTAAAAATCCTAAGGCATACTCATTTTTTAGGAAATATTAATGGCCTCTCCATTCCCCTCTCTCTCTGGCTCACACTATCCACAAGGAAATTCAACACCGCATTATTTCTTGTCAACGAGACGTACTTGCGGAAGCAGAAAAGGACGATGGTCTCAACCGCTGGGTTGAGGTTTCTCGGCTCCCGGAATAGCATCATGTTTCACCTCCAGCCGACTTCGAACCCCTTCTCATCGATCCCTAATGCAATATCTTTTGGCTTCCCTCTGTTCTTTTGAGCTTTTGGGAGCAACATGTTTAAGTGTTTACTCTGTTTTCTTTTGAAGTTATGATTGAATTATGTAACTTTTTTTTTGTTGAAAAAAAAATTAACATTTCAAAAAAAAAAAATTAAAACATTATTTATTATTTAGTTAAATAGAATTCAACCAATAGTAAATCAAAATGTAGAATTTTAATAGTCATATTAAACAAAAATGCATTTAGTTTTGTACAAAAAATTGTAAAAATCATATAATTTGAAACAAAAAAAATTCCTAACAAATTATTTAAAATAATACGGAGGGAGTATATCTTGACATTCCTTATGCCTTATAATCTCTGGTAAAATCAAGTCCACCACGTAGTCATTCATAAACTGCTCTACCATAGTTCTTCACGAATAACCCCAATTTAGGTTTAATAGTACATCCTAATAGGGGACGCCTATATTTGTTCAATTTATCACTTTCAACTTGGATACCATGAGGTGGTCCCTGGAAAGTTTTAGTATAAGTAGGAGGGATTCGCAGATCCTCTAAGCGTAGAGCTGCCAAGGCTTTGAACCCAAATACATTACTCACAATCGAGGTAAACATGTTAGGAACCGAACTTTCTTCAAAAAGGTCTAAGGGGTAAGCTACATAYGCAATAAATTGAGTTTCTTCTCCTAGAACGGATTCGATGTGGTAGCATCGTCCTTTGTAACGTTCAAGGATGGTAAGCCCATAAGTGCACACAGTTGTCCATGTACCAGTAGAAGATTCAGCAGTTACCGTAACCCCTGCTTCTTCAGGTGGAACTCCGGGTTGAGGAGTTACTCGAAATGCTGCCAAGATATCAGTATCCTTGGTTTCATATTCAGGAGTATAAYAAGTCAATTTATATTCTTTAACACCAGCTTTGAATMCAACACTTGCTTTAGTCTCTGTTTGTGGTGACATAAGTCCCTCCCTACAAGTCATGAATTTAGAATTCTTGYAATAAAACAAAACAACAAGGTCTACTCAACCTAAATTAGGAATAGATTTAATTAACCTACAAGAATCTTTCAAAAACTTATCAACTAATGAGAATGATTCTTTATTAGACCATGATATTTGATTCGCCAAATACATTATTATTGTATATTTTCATCTGTATAGTGCAACCTAATACTTGTTTTTCAAATTTTGAATCTTTGACTTTTTAGATATCAAAATAATTTAATATTTAAATAAAAATAAAATCACTCTTGACAGTAATATATGGTGTATATGTAAATCCTAGATATGACAATATGCGAAATTCATCCATGAAAATGAAAAAGAGGGGGGGGGTTGATAAAGGGAGGACTAGATGGGATGCATAACCGGATATGCTAAACTCAAAATACAAACAAAAAACGGCTAATGAGATYGAAATAATGAATCATAAATAGAGTTCCATTTCAAATTCGCTAGATAAAAAAAGTCTTGCCTATTTTGATAAATAAATCAAAGACTTTCCTCAAAATTCCTCCTTTTTATTCATATATTTTTTATTTATTTTAAAACTAATTTTCGGTTAGTTGAGCTTGAAAATGACTAGTCCTTCGTTGAAATTTACTAAGTCAAATAAGTAAAAAATTGAATTGCATATTTGTTGGGGTCGTACTAACGAAATCGAATGCTTACTCCCATTTATATTTATTGTTGAATTAACCCATCAATTTGCTATCAAAGATTTTGGCTGTATTCGAAAAATATCGCAGCAAAATGTAACATATTTTTTTTATTATGAGAATTAGTCCTACTACTACGAATCTAGAAATTTCGATACATGAAAAAAGAAATATGGGATGTATTGCTAAAATAATTGGTCTGGTAATGAATGTAGCCTTTCCCCCGGGCAAGATGCCTAATATTTACAATAAGTTGGTAGTTAAGGGCCGAGATACTCTTGGTCAAGAAATTAATGTGACTTGTGAAGTACAGCAABTATTAGGAAACAATCGAGTTAGACTTGTAGCTATGAGTGCGACAGAGTGTTTAGAGAGAAGTGGACGTGGTTGGTATGGAAAATCCTCTAAGTGTTCCAGTCGGCGGAGTGACTTTAAGACAAATTTTCAACGTGCTTGGGAAACCTGTTGATAATTTAGGGCTTGTCGATACATGCACAACATCTCCTATCCATAAATCCGCGCCTGCTTTTATMGAATTAGATACAAAATTATCTATTTTTTAAACATGAATTAAAGTAGTAGATTTTTTTTGCCCCTTATCGTCGTGGGGGAAAAATTGGACTATTCGGTGGGGCTAGCATGGGTAAAACAGTACTAATTATGAAATTGATCAACAACATTGCCAAAGCTCATGGTGGTGTATCCGTATTTGGTGGAGTAGRCGAACGGACTCGTGAAGGAAAGGATCTTTACATGGAAATAAGAGAATATGGAGTCATTAATGAACAAAACCTTGCGAAATCAAAAGTAACCCTAGTCTAGGGTCAGATGAATGAACAGCCCAGAGCTCGTATGAGAGTTGGTCTAACTGCCTTAATTATGGCATAATACTTCTATTTATTGACAACATCTTCCGTTTCGTACAAGCATGATCCGAGGTATACGCTTTATGGGGTATAATGCCTTCTGCTATGGGTTATCAACCCACTCTTAGTACAGAAATGGGTTCTTTACAAGAAAGAATTACTTCTACGAAAAAAGGGTCCATAACCTCGATTCAAGCAGTTTATGTACCTGCAGACGATTTGACTGACCCCGCCCCTGCCACCACATTTGCACATTTAGATGCGACTACCGTACTATCAAGAGGATTAGCTGCCAAAGGTATCTATCCAGCGGAAGATCCTTTAAATTCAATGTCAACTATGCTACAACCTCGAATCGTTCGCGAGGACCATTATAAAACCGCGCAAAAGATAAAGCAAACTTTACAATGTTATAAGGAGCTTCAGGACATTATAGCTATCCTGGGGTTAGACGAATTATCCGAAAAGGATCACTCAACCGTAGCAAGAGCATGAAAAATTGAGCCTTTCTTATCACAATCCTTTTTTATAGCAGACGTATTTACGGGTTCTCCGGGAAAATATGTTGGTCTAGCGGAAACAATTAGAGGGTCTAAATTGATTCTTTCGAGAGAATATGATTCTCTTCATGAATAGGCCATTTACTTAGTGGGTAACAACGATGAAGCTAATGAGAAGGCTACGAACTTAGAAATGGAGAGTAAATTGAAGAAATGACCTTAAATCTTTGTGTACTGACTCCGAATCGAATTGTTTGGGATTCAGAAGTAAAAGAAATAATTTTATCTACTAATAGTGGACAATTTGGCGTATTACCAAATCACGCGCCGATTGCCACAACCAATGATATAGGTATTTTGAAAATATGTATGAATAACCATTGGTTAACGATGGCTCTGATGGGCGGTTTTGCGAGAATATGCAATAATGAAATCACTATTTTAGTAAATGATGTAGAGAAGAATAGTGACATTGATCCACAAGAAGCTCAACAAACTCTTGAAATAGCAGAAGCTAACTTGAGAAAAGCTGAAGGCAAGAGACAAACAATTGAGGCAAATTTAGCTCTCAGACAAGCTCGGACAAGAGTCGAGGCTCTCAATACAATTTGATTTTGTAACTACATGACGTGTAAAAAAGAATATATAAAAAAATACGATCAAAAAGGAAGAAAAAACCAGGTCACAAAAGTTATTAGACACCATTAATCATGGTGTCTAATAAGTTATACCTACTCTTGACATATGAAAGCAATACTCTAACCAATGAGTTAAGTAGGTTATTTATCATCGTAAAAAGACGGCAAAGGGATACCTATCACATTGATGGAATTATAAATCAAATATTATTTCTAAGCAATACCAATAAACAACGAGATCAAAGAGTTATAATGTTCGATCTTGTAATATTAATCTTGACAAGAAATTATCTACATGATAACTGATAAGATAAAAATGTGTATCACAAACACAAGGGCTATAGCTCAGTTAGGTAGAGCACCTCGTTTACACGCATGCCAAAGTTTTTTAGAGGAGTCCTTCACGTAATCAAACCAATTGATTGATCTTATTAATAAATCGATATCTTACTCTATGACTTTTTTTGGAAAAAGAGGAGAACAATAGCTTGACATTAGGTCCTATTAAAGTACCCCGTTAGGTGGGGAATGAATAGAACCCATCATTGATTTGAGATATTGATAGGGTAAATACCCAGTCTACTTAATGCTAGGYAGAATGAGTATAAGGAACTCAAAAACGCTTTTTTCATCCTATGAACCTTAAGGTGTATCAAGTTTCATGTTTGATTTTTTAATCAGGATGTTAGAGACTATATTTAACTTAAGTTGATCGAGATCCAAAGCAAACTTACGTCAAGAGAACTCAACCTTCTTTGAAACAATTTGGTAGTTCTTTTCTACTGTATTAGGATAAAAAAATCAATCAGAGTATTTGGAAACTGATACGCCTCAGGATTCAGACATGGACCAGCTGGATGTTTTAGCTCAACATGGAATGGAACATGGAG